AATGAATAAATCCATGTGATACGATCAAAAATGAATAAGAACAATATTTTTTCATATCGAAAATACAAATTATTAACGAGACAAAATATTAGATAAAAGTATTTTTCTCTATAGCTGCTTACCTCGAGACAGATATCATGGATCATCATTAAGCATACAATGACATACGATGATTGTTTGTTGTGAATAATATTTTTTTTTGTATTTGTCCCTAATATATAACGAGAACATACGATTTATTCTGTCAAGCATTTGATCACGACTAATCTATTTCTTCTCATTTCATTTTCAATGGATTCGTACGCAATGACTGACATGCTGCAGCGAAGTGACAATGTGGATCAACAACATCAACAACTATATGAAAGTATTTTTAGATTTCTAGAAACCATGAAATCCTTACCGAAAACAGATACTCATTCATCTAATCCGGCATTTCAAGGTCTCAATGCAACACCGCTCGGTTTATGTGCGTTTGCTTTAACAACATTTGTTGCTTCAATGTATCTGTGTGGAATATCGGTACCGGTTGATGCATCTATTGGTGTTGTAATGGGTCTAGCTCTATTCTATGGTGGAGCTACTCAACTTTTGGCTGGTTTTCTCTCATTTCGTGAAGGAAACACCTTTGGTGCTTTGGCATTTTGTTCCTATCAGAGACCGTCACAGGGCAGGGCGGCCCTGGTGTCCTGCCCTGCCCTGTCCTGCCCTAAAGACAGGGCAGGGCAAGTTTTTTTATTTTTCGCCCTGCCCTGCAGGGCGTGCCAGGGCAGGGCAGGGCAAAATATTTTTGCCCTGTTATTCTTTTTTCTCGAGACAGTTATTTGAAACAGATTTTCTAGTAAATAATTTTGATATGTTGATATTATGAGCAATTGTAATTGATATCGCTATAAACTGACTATCATAACTTTTGGCATTGTACCTAGTTGGAACAATTTTTTATTATTATATTGGACATCATATAATCCATTTATATTTCGCATAAAAACATACAGATGATTTGAAGAGGAAAGAAAAAGCATTTCACAATGATGCAGAATTATATAAGAGAAAAATCCAGTTTTTTTGTTAAGTATATTCATATATTCCTCTTCCAAATAGTTTCATAAATGACCGTAGTTTTTTACAGCATACTTCATATAAAAGTTTAAAAACATGCCAATGTTCCAGTTTCTTCAAATTTTTTAGTTAAATTTTCTAGTTTCAATTATTTCATTGAGTTTTCTATCTTCGATATTTTAATCTGCCGTCATATATTATGAGTTCATTCGATACTGCAACGATTAAATATCAATTACTGACTGAAAGATCGAAATATCAAATACTAAAGAACGGATCTTCACCTGCTGTTAGATGGTGAAGAGTATTTGGTTATCCAGTATAATTAAGTAATCATCAGTTAGAAAGAATTCCTGAATTTCATAGTGGTTTCAAATGTACTAGTAATCAAGTTTACAATACGATGAGTGGTGAAAAATGTTTTAAACAACATGTTGATAAATATTTTTCAGCACTGAACTCGGAAACAATATCATTATTATCATAATAAATCACTTTTACTTTGGGGCGTCATTTACCGTTTACCTTATAATAAATATGAATTGTAAGAAATTTATATTTATTATAAATGTAAATTATTTTGTTGCAAAATTTATATTTACAAATCGTTGTAAATTATTAGAATTCATATTGATTTGTAATATAAACTTTGTAACGAAATAATTTATATTTACAATAAATATAAATTACTTACCACTTAATTTACGCATAAACTAAATGAAAGGTAGACACATATTGAGATCCCTACTTTCACTCCATCTTCAACTTCATCGATACAAATAACTTTCAATCGGATCGAATTAAACAAATGATTAAAACTTTACCATTACGAGGTTTTTTAAAGCTATTAGATATTTCCTCATTTAAGCTGGATTTCCAAGTTCAGGGCCGCCCTGCCCTGCCCTCAGGGCGGGGCAGGACAGAAAAAAATATTATGAATCATCATTAGGGCAGGGCAGGGCAGGGCGCAGGGCAGGGCGTAGGGCAGGACAGGACATAAAAAAACTGCCCTGTGACGGTCTCTGGTTCCTATGGAGGATTTTGACTTAGTTTCGGAGCAATTCATATAGCTGCTTTTAATTTTCTCGTCGGTTATAACGACGTGTCCGTTTTGAATAATGCATTGGGTGTTTTTTTTCTTTCATGGGCAATATTTACAGGATTGATGACCTTATCTTGTCTACGTACTAATCTTATTACTATTGGTCTATTCTTTTCTCTTTTTCTATGTTTCGTTCTACTATCAAGTAGTAAATTTTCACAAAATAATCGAAATTTACAACGAGCATCGGGAGCATTTGGTCTCGCTGCGGCAACATTCGCTTGGTATTCAGCTTTTTCACATTTACTCAACAAGAGTGATTGGTTTTTCAAATTGCCTCTTTTTGAAATATCACATAAACAACGCAAAGAAATGAGCAATTTTAAACAACTAGAATAAAAAAAAATCGACAATGACGATTAAAGAGACATAAGCATGAGCAAATTTTAATAAAATATTTACTGTAACAGTCTTACACTAAGAAATAAATTATATTAAATATAAAAAATTTTATTAATAATTTATGTTACAATTGAATACAAGTCTCTGCTGATTAATATTCTGATTCAAATAAAAAATGAAATAAAACAAAATAAAATGTCGGCATGTATTGATTTTACAATCAGTTACAACGAAAAAAACTAAATTTTCAAGTTTTGCTTTGGAGTCGACAAACAATGTCGCGTCATACACTCATAATTTTTGAAGCATCATTACTCGACTGAGTAATGATCACAATTAACAAGAGAAATATCCTTACTCAAAAATAATCTAGACTGATATCTTATTTGTTTCTATTTTATGTATTATGTTCATATTTGTTTTTCGCTCATGTTTTAGTCAGATTTCGTTTCTGTCACCAACAAAATCGCAAGTATCATCAATAATGAATAGAAAAAGGGATAAAATCATTTAGTGTCTATCGTCTATTTACATCGAAGTTTATACTGAACAGTATTGTTACTATGTATATTCAGTCGACTTCTCGATTACTGACAATCAAAATAACTGAAATAAGAAGTGAATATGATGATGTGTCCAATGAGAAACGTTTTTTTTTTCTTGTTGTCATTCGTGATAGGGAGAATAGTCAAATCATCGTCTGAAATAATTTATATTTTGAGTCAATGCGTGCAATTTAGATTTTCATTCATTAAGTATATCATAAGACGAAGACTTTTCAAAATCACTAACAGACACAAATTGCAACTTGGAACACATTCAAAAAGAACTACTAGGTAATTCATATTAACTTAAATTATAAAAAAAAAAAAAGATAAATTCAGTGTATTTTTCTAGTTATATTATATTGCTAAGTCACTCATCGTTTTGTATCAAACAATTCAAACGGTGAAAGTTTCTTATCAATTCATCAAGAAATGTTTAGGAATAGATTTGTTAAATCGTGAAGAATGATATATGTGAGAACTAAAATTTTTGTTTTTTGTACCGAAAAAACAATGATCCATGTCATCTCATTAAAGAACAAGATAGGTATGTTTACATGAAGACACACTACATATGTATTAACGCATAAATTGCTTCACTTATCGAAATTTCCTCTTTCCTTCTTTCGTTAGACATCACATCATATGACGTCCATACGTGTTTCATCATACCTATCAACACATATTGAGAATAGCTTTTTATCGATTGAAGACACAATCAGTGAAGCATAAAACATAAAACATTTTAAAAGAATTAAGCATTCATGTATAGTACATGTGTTTTGTGTTTGACAGTATAACCTAAAATAAAATAATCATTGATTATTCTACAACAAATATTTATGAGAATACATAATCAACGTACATACTTTTCTTTGTTTATTCGAGATTATATGAAATAGAATTCAATAAAAACTATTCAAGCGATCAATGTTTAAAAAAAAGGAGCATAATTATAGTATCAAATTATTGAAAATGATTTTTTTTCTCTAATGTACTCCGAAGGAAAATATATTTGAAAAACTCTATCAGGACAAATGAACAAACACAAGCTATGCTATTTTGGCTATATTGTTGAAATAAATGCCCTTGAATTTCATACTAATCCAGTAGAAAAGAAAAGGCTCAAATTTATTTATCTAGAAGTTATAGTTGATTAGATTTATGAAATCAAATAAATAATCATTTCTTGGCATTTTCCTTGATATTTTTGATCAAGAGAAAAGAAAAAAAGATATTATTTCATTTGCAAAGGACTACATGTTTATCTGTTTATCGAGATGAAGAAAAATTGAAAAAATTGAGATAGAAATAAATTTATCTATTAATATTGTCATGATTTTTAGTGGCATCTTTTATTTTATTCACACAAAGTAGTATGTTAAATAAATCGATTATAAAATGGTGTGCTCCCGATGTCTTGAAAATCGCTAAAAAATCGGCGATTTATTGCGATATATCGAAACGATAATCGTTCGATTAATCACGATTAATGACCGATTTTTGTTTTCGATTATTTTGACGATTTTTACGATAAATCGTGATTTTCAAGTGAATTTTCTGCTCTTCACTGTATTAATAATTTATGCCTTTTATCCATTTAAACTCAAATGCTACTGTATTATTGAGTACATGTTATTATTGATTTTAAGTAATGAACATTTTATTAAAAAACATTGAATACTAACATTATTTTATATAAACAAAATATATTTAAAAAAACAAAATGAACTTAATTCTACAATCAATTTTTCATAATCATGTAGAAAACATTCGAGAAAAAAAAACAAAAAAGTAGAATGTTCATTTGTAGAAGAGATTTCTAGTTCTAAATTTCGTTTTTCGAAAGACTCACGCATCATGGTTTTTGTTCACAAGTTAAAAATCTAAAAGAGGATAAATAAATTAAATTATATCTGAAAAGCAAAAGTACATTCGATAATAGGAATAGAATATTTCATCCCTTTAAAGAATTTTCAACTTACATTAAACAGATATTTTTAGAGTCATCTAAAATTAAATATAAGGCTAAAAGAATACTTACTAAAGAAAATTTAATCTGAAAACATATATCTAAAATAATTTATCTTTTATGAAAAAAATGTTTTAAACTGAAAGAATCCGAAAGAAAGACAATCTAGTCTAGTTCGATCTGTGTTTAAAATTATCCAATGTCTTTCATATCACAGTAGTGACATTCATTACAAAACGAAAATTTTTTTGTTTGGGTTAAAATCTCTATATTTATGTAAAAAAAACCATGTGCAAATTGTGCCTGCCTCTGAATTTTTGATATCTGTGAATATTTTTCTCATTAATTAAAAATTCGAAGTTAATTACAGAAGTCAGCGATTAATCACGATTTATCGTTCTGATTTATCACCGATTTTGAAAAAAATCGTTCTTTCAAACAAAATCGCGATAAATTCTGATTTAATTGCCAATTTTTTTCTGAAAAACGATTAATCGTGATATTACGTCGATTTTTTTCGAAATCGCCAAAATCGTCACGATTTTCACGGAATGGATCCAAACACAACACATGTTAAGTGACACCATCATATGTGTATCATCTCTGCGGTTCGTTGTTACGACGTCATATGTATTTCATCTATATCTTCTTTTATTCTATATATATACGTGTGTGTATTCGTCTTCTTCTTTCTTCTGGTGACCTCTTCACTTTTCACAGAATTCTTCACCTTTCCATGTTCTCACATATGTATACTTGCTGCTTTAAACAATAAATCATTCCATTCTATTCTCGTTCATAAGTGTGTAACATAATCTTCTCTGACTAGCAAATTGGTCAAGTGGTTGGCTACCCTCTCACATTGGTGCACTGGCCAACTGTTTGTCAATCCAACATCACAAACATCTTTAAGTATTGGTAAAATAATTAAATCGTCAAGCTGGTAAACACACGTGGTACATCCGATGAGCAAGCTCAAGGAAATCTTAAACAACACACTAAGTTAAAATGTGTCGGATGTGTCGTGATTTACGACACAATGCACGACACATTAAAGCACGATACCTGGTGCTCGTTGCGACATATTTTGGCCAGCAAGACCACGACACATTTTTTTACGACACATCCGACACATTTTTCATTGGTTCTTTTGGAAAAGTATATTTCGATTTTTTTTCAATTTATTTTCATTTATTTATTCGTATCCTGCATAATTCAGATGGGTCATATCCTGAGATCTGACCGATCTCGAGCCGGTCCGATTTACATCAGACCATTTCAGGGTAGTCCTCTCTCGATCATTGATCGAAATTGGCATTTTCTCGATTAAAAAATGATCGAGAAATACTCTAGAAAAGAAAAATGTTTTGAAAATTTATCTTTCGTGCGTTCGACCACGTTGTTTATATATTGATATGTGTGCATAAAAGAACGATGAATGAATAGTCAACAGACAGAACGCAACAAATTCATATACGACACATTCAAGGCACGACACTTTTTTGTGCTGGAGCGCACAACACAAT